AAAAAAAATTTTTTATATATAAATAAAAAAAAAAAAAAAAAAAATATATATATATATATATATATATATATATATATAGGCCTATTTATTTACTTCCAGGACATTAGACATATTTTAATTAATTAGTTAGTTCTTTATTTTATTTGGTTAGTTCTGTATTTTATTATTTACTTGCTTGCTTAAATCCAAAGTACACATTTATTTATATAATTAAAAGATATATGCAAAGTACACATTTGTTTATTTAGTTTTATAGAATATATAGCCTATGCAAAGTACAAATTTATTTAATAATTAAAAAAAAATCTTTATTGACTTAAAGCAGGATGCTGGACATTTTGTCATTCTCTTTTTAAAATTTTTTATTTATTTATTTTTTTTGACATTTTAAGTATCAAGATCAGCTTGTTTCAACATTTAAGTGTCTAAATGGTTTCATAAATCCTGTCTACACTGATCTCAAGGTGCTAATAATTCTTCCGTGATACAAGACGTTCACTATCTCTTGTCTAGTTTGAGAAATCTCTAGTGTGTTAGGTCATTCAGATAAGCTTTAACCAGCACTGTCCATCTGATGATCACATCTGGGACTTGAATGTGCACTGTCCTTAACCAGACCTTGTTGTGTTTGTGTGTTCCAGTCTCCCACAGTCAGATCACTCGCCTCTACAGCCGCTTTCACAGTCTCGATAAAGGAGAAAATGGAGCGCTCAGGTACGACATACGGCACTGAATGACATGAGTTGAGTAATAATGAACTTTAACAGTGTGTTGTTGCAACACCTTTGACCCATGAGGAAGCAGGTATTACACAAGCGGCTCGGTTACGTCTGCATGCTTGCTTTTAATGAACATCCTTTGATCGTCTCAGTTTGAGCGTATTCCGGCTCTCTGGTAAACATTCCCACCAGCCTCAGGCTCTGTAAGTTAATATGTTAAGGAATGGCTAGATCAGTGTTTGAGTTTTGACTGCAAGGAAAACATTTTTTCAATTGCACTGCTAAAAATACGACTTTAATTGTAAATATTCCTTGTAAAAGAGGGAGCTCAAGGACAGTTATGAAGCGTGTATTTCCTTGTGCCAAAGTTGTTTGCATAATGTCCTCTGTGTGTCCTCATAAGTGACCTGCGATTTATAATAGTTGAAAGGTTGTTATAAAGAAGATGAGAAAGCAGTAGCACAGTTGTGATGGTTAAAACCTGGTGATAAATGCAGTATTAATAATGCATTTATAGCACATGTATCACACACATTGTCCACAAGTATTGCAATATGTTTTAGTGTTGTGCATTTTATGTTCGAAATGGATTTGGTACCATTTCTAATTAAAGTTTAATGTGTCATCATTAGTGGTCGACCGATATTGTTTTTTTTTGACAGCCGATATCTTGGAAAGCAGGGTGGCCGATATAAAGCCGATATAATTGTATTTATTTTAATTAAAATATTTAAGAAATTTGAAATCATTTGAAAATGGATTAAAAAATACATTTGTAAAATAAACACTTTAGATGACAATGTATTTTCCACAAATAAATAAATATTTAATAAAAATATAATTAAAAAGGAAGTAAACCGTTACCAACAGAGCACTCAGTATTCTGGGAAGTTTGTGTGCACTGGGAATCATATTTTTTCAAATAAAGCCAAGGTAACACTCATTTTACATACAGCACAGTAAAAATGACATGAATATGTTTAAAGCATTCAATTTGCACGTACCGAAAGTCACGCAGAGAACACGCGATCATGCAGGATACAAATGCACACTTCACAAGATCTCAACTAGATTCAACTAAGTTTGCAAAGTTTGTGAAATTAAATTTTCATTAGCCATTCAAAGATTTGTTTAAATGATGTAAATGCGTATTTGTTAAATGCTGACGGCAAACAAGAAAGTATTATAATGTTTGACTTTCTATTAATAATAATATAAAAGCAATCGTTATAATACTTTTTGTATACATTTAATGTCCTTTGTTTAACAGTTCTATCGGATTATTAGACAGACTTCTATCCGTATTTAGACAGAACTGAAGGACGACGGCAAACAAGAGGGAGAATGTGAGCACTGTGTGCTCAGGCGCTGCCGTTCTCAGCGCCATCAAAATAAAAGTCCCGCCTCGAACGCATTGGCCAAACAGACAAACTTATCGGCAGATGCCGATATTTGGAAAAATGCCAAATATTGGCCGATATATCGGCCTTGGCGATATATCGGTCGACCACTAGTCATCATAGATTGAATAAACTATGGTGTGTTTTGAAGGATTAAAACAAAATATAGCCAAAAGTTCTTTTTATTTTGTGAAAAGAACTGTATGCACTACAAAATTGGTGAAACTAGCAACTTTTTCCCCCCAAAACTGTGACCAGGATTTTTGTTTTTGTAAGAAATAATTAATTTTATTCAGCAAGGGTCTATTAAATTGATTTTTTTTTTTAAGTTACAGAAACACATGTATAATGTTTCAAAGGTTTTCTGTTTAAAAAAAATGCTGTTCTTTTTTATACTTTCTATGCATCAAAGAACCTTGAAGAAATATATTTCCATAAAAATAGCTGCACAACTGCTTTCAAGATGAATGATAAGAAAAGAAATGTCTGTTGAGCAGAAAATCAACATATTAGAATGATTTCTGAAGGATCGTGTGACACTGAAGACTGGAGTAATTCAGCTTTTCATTACAGAAATATATTACATTTTACAATATATTCAAATAGATAACAGCATTTTAAAATTGTAATAATATTTCACATTAATACAATTTTTACAGTATTTTTGATCAAATGTAGCTTTGGTGAGACTTCTTTCAAAAACCCCAAACTTTTGTATGGAAGTGTATAATTATCCCAACTTTTTACTTGAGAACTAACTCTTTTGTAAAGCATATCTGTGACGTGTCTTATGAAACTAAACTCATTCTGTTTACCAAATATGCTGAAGTCACAAGTTGTGTTCTTGTTGTAATTGTTTGTTTTTAATTGCAACATCCTCTGTGGTTTGAAACCAGCTGAGATGATGGTTAGTTCAACAAACATCCTCAGCGATATGGTTCATATAAAAAAAAAAATCCAACAGTGTTGATGACCTGCTGTACTTGTTGTCACCCCAAACATCCGTCAGGCTGAGATTAGAGACGCAGGCTCTTGTTTGAACAATAAATAGTCACTTCATGACTTTCCTTATGCACGAGAAGGTTACTCCCAGAAATAAACCATTATGAAACTGCTTTTTCATTATTGTAATGGGATTACAGTTCTAATTGAGCACTGTAATTATTACACAGTATTCATTATTACTCATATCAGCCATATGAAGGCTGGTAGACATCAAAGTATTCTTTTAACAAGTCCCATTTTCACAGAATTAGGGATGGGCTTTCCTGCTTTATTACACGTTACATGATCCAATGTCAACCCAAGAGCACAGAGAGACGTGCGCAAGCTGAAAAACTCTTGCTGGCTCAAAGTAAAAAGCCTGAAAACAATCAAACCATGTCAGGTGTTTCAGCAGATTCACTTTTCACTAGGGACAACTGCTTTTCATTCGAGAAGGGCGGTTTTATAAGAATAATCATTGTATTGTTAAATAAGGATGGTCTCTTACATTACTATATGCACCCGGCTTGTTTGTGTAGGCGCATCTGTGTGCAGAACCTGAAATTTATCCGAAATGCATAGTAACCCCTCCCTACCTCTCTTTTTCTCCTCCTCAGCCGAGAAGACTTCCAGAGGATTCCCGAGTTGGCCATAAATCCTCTTGGCGATCGGATAATTAATGCCTTCTTCCCAGAGGGGTGAGGAACATGTCATAAGACATATGCAACGTCAGATAGATCTTTTATTGCACCAGTATAGTACACTGCATACACACTGATTTGATTGAATGCTTTTTTCTGCTTGTACAACGAACATAGTGCATTATAAAGTGCACAAATGAAAGAAAACAATTAAATATAAGTAAATGGAAAAGAAAAGACAAAATGGGTAATAAGAAAAGGAGAAATGTGTCTGTATTTCACGCCAAAAGCAAAAAAATTTAATAAAAATAATAAGAAAATAATTTCTGGATTAATAAAATTAATCTTATTTTAACTTCTTTTTTCCTGCATTATGACATTGTTTTCATGACAAATAAGTTTTAATTATGAATATATATTTACACACTACTGTTCAAAGGTTTGATAAGATTTGTTTTGTATGTTTTAAGAAAGAAGAACCATGACTGCATTTTTAAAATGTATATACAGTAATATTGTGAAATATTACAACTTCATGTGATGACAAAGCTGAATTTTCAGCATCATTACTCCAGTCTTCAGTGTCACAAGATACTTCAGAAATCATTCTAATATGCTAATATGCTGCTAAAGGAAAAAATCGTATTAATATCAATATTGTTGTGCCGCTTATTTATTGATTTATTTAGAAAATGTGATACATTCTTTTCTGAGTTTCTGATGAATAGAAAGTTCAAAAGAACAGCATTTATGTGAAATATAATTTTTTTGTAACATTAAAAATGTCTTTTTACAGTCACTTTTGATCAATTTAATGATTCCTAGCAGAATAAAAGTATCAATTTCTTTCAATAACAAAATGTACTGACCTCAAACTTTTGAACACAGTAGTGTAATTTTTTTCAAAACAAAATTTTAAATTGGGGGAAATGCGGTTCAAAGTTATGAAAATAATGTCACAATACATTATGGTTTTAAAACATAGGTTTAATTTTCCCTCTGAAAAACTATTTCAGTTTTTCTTTTTTCTTTTGAGGGCAAATTCTTGATCGGTTTCATACATTTGTCTCAATTTCTCAGAGAATGTAGTTTCCATATCAGTGCTTGTGTGAATTATTTGGCTGTAATAATGTTACTGTATGAAATCATGTTCTGTAACTTCTGCAAACTCTATCATTACTGTCTCAAAACACACAGCATGTGGGTGGTGTCACATGGGTTGTTGATTTCTTCTTGGTTTGAGTATTCCTGTGGGCTCAAATTCCTTAAAATATGAAGAAACCACTTTGTGGGCATGTCAGTGAAAAACATTGTGAAGCATGAGTCTGAAGTAGGACAGCAGTTTCCATGTTTAGGCATCAGGGAGCTTGTCTGGGGCAACGTCTGGCCCTGCAGAGATTAAAACCATATCAGTCAACCACTAGTGTGGATCTTCGTAAACACAACATCAGTTTTAAAGTCTCTGTGTGTGTGTGTGTGTGTGTGTGTGTGTGTGTGTGTGTGTCTCTCTCTGTCATGTATTTCAGTGAGGATCAGGTGAACTTTCGGGGCTTCATGAGGACTCTGGCTCACTTCCGTCCTGTGGAGGATAACGAGAAAAACAAAGACCCGACTTCTGGCGAGCCGCTCAACAGCAGGACCAACAAACTCTTCTGTGAGTTCAGCTCAAACACCTCTCATATTAATGCCAAGTTTTGGTTTGTGTCCACAAAAATATTGAGCAGCACAACTGTTGTCAACATTAATATTTATAAGAAATGTTTCTTGAGCAGCGCAGTAGCATATTAGAATGGTTTCTGAAGGATCATGTGACGCTGAAGACTGAAGTAATGATGCTGAAAATTCAGCTTTGCGTTACAGGAATGAATTACATTTTAAAACGTATTCTAATAGAAAAACATAGTAGAAATGTTCACAGGGACCTCATAAACATTTTTAAATGTTAAGTTTTTAAATACCATTTTAAACTGTTAAAGGGTTAGTTCACCCAAAAATTAAAATGCTGTCATTAATTACTCACCCTCGTGTTGTTCGAATCCCGTAAGATCTTCGTTCATCTTCGGAACACAATTTAAGATATTTTTGATGAAATCTGAGGGCTCTCTGACCCTCCCATAGACAGCAAGGTAACTACCACGTTCAAGGTCCAGAAAAATACCAAGATGATCGACAAAGCGGTGCCGGTGCTGACCCAGATCCGGCATCATGATACTGTCGTGAATGCGCGTCCACAAGTGATGCAGTAGAGACAAAAATGTGGAATAAAGTCATTATTTTTGTTTTCGTTGTGCAAAAAAGTATTCTCATAGCTTCGTAACTTTCCAGTTGAACCACTGATGTCACACGGACTACTTTGTCGATCATCTTGGTACTTTTCTGGACCTTGAACGTGGTAGTTACCTTGCTGTCTATGGGAGGGTCAGAGAGCCCTCAGATTTCATCAAAAATATGAAATAATTATAATTAATCATAATTAATGACAGAATTTTCCTTTTTGGGTGAACTAACCCTTTAAGTTTGAAAAGTCTCAAGACGATGAATGATAATGAAACTCATTTAATGCCATTTAAAAACGTAATGGCCAAAATAAAAGATGCATTAAAGTGCCCCTATTATGTGTTATGAAAGGTTCATATTTTGGTTTTGGGAGTCCCCAACAGGTTGACATGCATGCAAGGTCAAAAAACACTTTCATCGTCTTATAATATGCATTTATTTTCTTGTGTGAATTATTTGGCTGTAATAATGTTACTGTATGAAATCATGTTCTGTAACTTCTGCAAACTCTATCATTACTGTCTCAAAACACACAGCATGTGGGTGGTGTCACATGGGTTGTTGATTTCTTCTTGGTTTGAGTATTCCTGTGGGCTCAAATTCCTTAAAATATGAAGAAACCACTTTGTGGGCATGTCAGTGAAAAACATTGTGAAGCATGAGTCTGAAGTAGGACAGCAGTTTCCATGTTTAGGCATCAGGGAGCTTGTCTGGGGCAACGTCTGGCCCTGCAGAGATTAAAACCATATCAGTCAACCACTAGTGTGGATCTTCGTAAACACAACATCAGTTTTAAAGTGTGTGTGTGTGTGTGTGTGTGTGTGTGTGTGTGTGTGTCTCTCTCTGTCATGTATTTCAGTGAGGATCAGGTGAACTTTCGGGGCTTCATGAGGACTCTGGCTCACTTCCGTCCTGTGGAGGATAACGAGAAAAACAAAGACCCGACTTCTGGCGAGCCGCTCAACAGCAGGACCAACAAACTCTTCTGTGAGTTCAGCTCAAACACCTCTCATATTAATGCCAAGTTTTGGTTTGTGTCCACAAAAATATTGAGCAGCACAACTGTTGTCAACATTAATATTTATAAGAAATGTTTCTTGAGCAGCGCAGTAGCATATTAGAATGGTTTCTGAAGGATCATGTGACGCTGAAGACTGAAGTAATGATGCTGAAAATTCAGCTTTGCGTTACAGGAATGAATTACATTTTAAAACGTATTCTAATAGAAAAACATAGTAGAAATGTTCACAGGGACCTCATAAACATTTTTAAATGTTAAGTTTTTAAATACCATTTTAAACTGTTAAAGGGTTAGTTCACCCCAAAATTAAAATGCTGTCATTAATTACTCACCCTCGTGTTGTTCGAATCCCGTAAGATCTTCGTTCATCTTCGGAACACAATTTAAGATATTTTTGATGAAATCTGAGGGCTCTCTGACCCTCCCATAGACAGCAAGGTAACTACCACGTTCAAGGTCCAGAAAAATACCAAGATGATCGACAAAGCGGTGCCGGTGCTGACCCAGATCCGGCATCATGATACTGTCGTGAATGCGCGTCCACAAGTGATGCAGTAGAGACAAAAATGTGGAATAAAGTCATTATTTTTGTTTTCGTTGTGCAAAAAAGTATTCTCATAGCTTCGTAACTTTCCAGTTGAACCACTGATGTCACACGGACTACTTTGTCGATCATCTTGGTACTTTTCTGGACCTTGAACGTGGTAGTTACCTTGCTGTCTATGGGAGGGTCAGAGAGCCCTCAGATTTCATCAAAAATATGAAATAATTATAATTAATCATAATTAATGACAGAATTTTCCTTTTTGGGTGAACTAACCCTTTAAGTTTGAAAAGTCTCAAGACGATGAATGATAATGAAACTCATTTAATGCCATTTAAAAACGTAATGGCCAAAATAAAAGATGCATTAAAGTGCCCCTATTATGTGTTATGAAAGGTTCATATTTTGGTTTTGGGAGTCCCCAACAGGTTGACATGCATGCAAGGTCAAAAAACACTTTCATCGTCTTATAATATGCATTTATTTTTACCTTACTTGCTCAACAACTCCCAAACGATTCGCTCAACGATTCATTTTTCCAAACTCCTCCTTTACGTGACGCTAATCTGCAGTGATTGGTCCGATTGGTCTCATTTTCATTTCATCTTGCCTGTAATGCCTGATAAAGCAGCGTTTGTGAGCGCAGTGCTGCTTTGTGTACAGCGTTACCGGGGAAACAAGCGGCACCTAGTGGCAAAGAATGAATTTGCATTTTTATTCAGACCAACCTGAAAAGACCAACAAGTGGGCGGGCAATATGCTAATGTTACATGTTGAATTCAACATGAAACGGCTTGGGATTCGTTTGAAAAACGACTCGTTTCAATGATTCAGAGTCGACTCTTTCTTTTGAGAGATAATAACTTTATACACGGTGCACTTTCAGATTTAAAACTTTGCAGGATGTTTTCATTCACTTAGAGCTCAGAGTTACACACTGCATGAAAGGTCATTTTCAAAAGCACTTTAAAAGCTTTCAAGAATGGAGCAGTCTGTCATATCATTTTACTTGAGTATTATCTAAGCATTTAAAAGCAGGCAAAATGTAATTTCCCAAAGGGAAACAAAGGGCTTGAACTGAGCCTGGTCTTAAACTTGCTCTTTTTAATGATCCTGTAAAACATGCTTTATCTGCTCTTAATCTCTGCTCAGGAAACCTGTTCTCTGTAACAAGGCCATACAGTGTGTTCGTCTAGCACAAAGTGTTGCGACTTAAAGCTTTTAATAATATTTTGTTTTTCCTCTTATTTTTCGCAGTCGCTTTTCAGTTATACGACCTTGACCGAGACGACAAGATCTCTAGAGACGAACTGCTACAGGTAAGAGAATCGTGCTTAATGTCCAACAGAAAACCGCTACACCCGTCTCTGACACGGGAGACAAAAGAACATTCTGTATCGTCTGAACAACGAGGCACTGACTCGCCTGCCCTAGCTGATTCATAGCTATTCATATTCACAGAAGACGCTCTGTTAGACTGGGAAACCCAGAAGATCAGGTTTAGGGGACTTCAGACTCAGACAGAGACACATTATTTGTACTTTCCTGTCAAACATTGGAAATAGAATTAACCCATGGTATTTCAGGGATATATTATTTTTTACTTTCCTGTCAAACATGGAAATGCTTGTTTTTTTTTCTTTGATACTGTTATATTTTAACCTGAATTTCTATGCTTGTACATATTACTAGATTTTTTAATAATACAAACCTATGAAAGGTTTGTGTATATATATTTTTTTTTACATTTTACAAATGCAAAATGTATAAAACTTGTTTATACTGTTGTGTAATCAATGAACATATGTTAATGTAGCTACAAAATATTTCTGAATTATCATTGCAATGTGTAATCTTTCCACAAGCCCATGGGAATGCTTATCCTTCTATTAATTTCTGTTAGGGAATATTTATTTTATCAAATCCCCTTTTTTTTAATTTTTTTTTAATTTATTTTTTTTACCCCTTAAATTTATACTATGTATTTTTTATTCATTCATAGTTGGATTTCTTTTTGTTGCTTAGTTTTTGCTGACTTTATTCCACTCTTCACATATAAAATAATAAACAGCACTTTGCTCCACTTAAACAGGTTTGTTGTTCCCAATAGTTTTTAACTGTCCCATCTTGGGGGGGAAAAGCCTCTTTATAAAGCTTCTATACATTTTTTGATAGATTCACAAATCAAACCACACTGAAATAAAGTTAAGATGAGTATAAAATGATAATTGATAAAGAGATATTGTTAAAAATAAACTTAAGCCACTTATAAGGAAGGATATGCAGTGTGACTGATAAAACATAATTAATTGTCTCTAGCATACTTGTATTACTTTACTATTACTGGGTGGGTCAACACTGAATAATTATTTAGAATTCTAACATTATAAAATCCAGTATGAACCTTTTTTGCAGGTTTGTTTCAGTAGATGGTCTTTTTGAACCTCAGGAGTGTTGTGAAATAAGTCATTTGGAAAAGTGTGTGGATAGGGAATTGCAGTCTGCTGTTGAGCCACTTGATGGCACCAGATAATAATGTAAAAAATTAAAACCGACACTCAAACTTGGTGTTTTCCAGGTTTTGAGAATGATGGTGGGTGTGAATATTTCTGATGAGCAACTTGGAAGCATTGCAGACAGAACCATCCAGGAAGCTGACACTAATGGAGACATGTGTATCTCCTTCAGTGAGTTCACCAAGGTAATGCCAGGAAAAGCAAGTAGGTGTGTTCTACTTCAGGAAATAGTCCACACAAAAATTAGCTGAAAGTTGACTCCTCCAAGATGAACATGAGTTCATTATTTCATCGGAACTGAACTGGAGAAATTTAGCATTACATCATTTCCTCACCAGTAAATCCTCGACAGTGAATGGGTGCCGTCAGAATGAGAGTCCAAACAGCTGATAAAAACATCTAAATAATCCACAAGTAATCCACACCACTCCAGTCCATCAATTAACATCTTGTGAAGTGTGAAGCCACACGTTTGTGAGAAACAAATCCATTGTAAAGGTGCTTTTAAAGTCCATAATTTATTAATAGCACTTCCTCCAGTGAAAAAGTTCATTGCCTGTTGTACTCTCATATCAAAATCCACCAAAATATGTGGTGCTTGATCTGAACATATTTCTCTCCTGATCCAGACGAGATTAGAATGCAATATTATGGATTGAGGATTCATTTTCAACTGGAAGCAACGGAAGTTAAGAACCGTCTTGATGATGGATTTGATCATTTTTTGACATTAATTGATAGGCTGGAGTGGTGTGGATTACTTGTGGATACTTGTGATGTTTTTATGAGCTGTGTGGACTTTCATTCTGACGGCACCCATTCACTGCAGAAGATCCATTGGTGTGCAAGTGATGGAATGCTAAATTGTTCCCTTTTGCCTCAGGAAAGCAACAATGATATGAAAGTGATTAAAAGTTTTTGGGTGATTTGTTTATTTTCAAACACCCTTTTTCGTTCCTCAGGTATTGGAAAAAGTGGATGTCGAACAGAAGATGAGCATCCGCTTCCTTCACTGAAAACCAAATGTGTTCTGAACTCTGATTGGAGACCATCAGTGTCAATAGAAATAAGACACGCCCCCTGATTCTTCTCTCTGTGGGCTGATTTATCCTTTTTAAACATGATCACGTTCTCATCATGTTGCGTTTGTTTCAATCATCTATCACTCTTGAGTTGCTGTTGCACTAGAAGGCCAGATCCAGTGCCTTCGCTATTCTCAAAAGTCACAGCGGCTTTTATCTTGTAAAATTCTATTTATTCCGGCTGTGAAAGCAGCTGATTAAAACTTTCCAAATGGCGAAGCTGTCACTGATATTGATACTGGTGGATGCTTGTTGTCATGCCCATTTCGTCACCAACTTAAAGGCCAAATCTTCCGAGAAACTTTCCTTCTCACCCATAAAAATGATATTTCGCTCCACAAAAATACCTCAATGTAAGGGTGGAAAAGGGTTTTTTCATTCTCGTAATTTATAATGATCTTAAGTCATCAGCACATAAGAGGGAGTGAAATTGCTGAATGCCTCTTTTAACTCTGAAAAATGTATTTTTCACTGAATTTGAGTGGGGTTTTCTCTTTAAATGCCTGATAAACAGAAGAGAAGCAGTTCATTTGAGTATTTATAATTAGTCATTCTACACTCCCATTTCATTTTTAAATTACATATGCATAGTTAAGTCTTTTTAAAGGTGAAGCATGTCATTTTCTGTGTCACTGCGGTACCAAACGAAACTAAGATCTGTTTAAGCATCCAAATTTGACATGATGATGACAACATTACCCGAAATGCTAACCCTGAGTATTAAACAGTGCGAGATGTGATGCACACCAAAGTTTGCGGAAATAAAATTGTGCGCTGTTAATCTCATCTATCTTAAAATAGTTTGCCTGGCAGACGATAACAGTTGAAAAAAATCTGTTAGACCTTACATTTGAAAGATGGACTCAAGACATAGAGGGACCAGAATATAATGTGCTGCATGACTCGTAAACAAACATATAGAACTATGGAAGCCCATAAAGGTAAATGCAACTTTTTATCTCACAATTCAGACTTTTTTTTTTTTTTTTTTTTTCAGAATTGTGAGGTACCAACTCATAATTGCTAGATATACCCCCGGTTTCACAGACAAGGCTTAAGCCTAATCCTAGACTAAAATGTAAGTCTGAGCTGTTTCAACTGAAAGAAACTTGCACTGACTGATCTTAAAATATATCAGTGCCTTTGTTTTATCTCAAGATGCACACCAGTAATGTTTTTTTCTAAGTGTGTCCATAAAAATTACTTAAATGTCCTAATTGAACTATGGCCTAATCCTGGCTTAGTCTACGCCCTGTCTGTGAAACCGGGCCATAAATTCAGAATTGTGAGAGAAACTCGCAATTCAGAAATTTTTCTCGCAGTTGCAAGTTTATATCTCACAATTCTGACTTCTTTTCTCAGAATTGTAAAATATAATCTTGCAAATGTAAGTTATAAAGTCCAATTTTGAGGGGAAAAAAGCTGTTTTCTTACAATTGTTGCAATTCTAAGTGAATTGTGAGAAAAATTCGCAATTATATATATATTTTTTTATTCAGTGGTGGAAACTGGCTTCCATATAGAGCGCTTAACAATATGGCAAAGACACTTTGAACTCTTTAGCAACACTATAATATTTTGAACAGCCAAATACAACTCACCTCCTTCAGAAAATGTACAAATCTTTGCAATTCTGTTTAGTGGTGCAGAAATGACTCCCTTCACCTTTTCAGCTCTCATTCATTCGGTCCAGTCAATTTCGAAATTGATTTAGAGTTGGGTGTGATTTGTTCTATATTACATATGTTCTCAGAGTTGTCATGCATCATTATTTATAAGAAGGGTACTTGAAGCCAAATGTCACTCAATTATTTGTTGACTGAACACTTAAGTTGATGAGGGTCTTCGCTTTATAGATATATGAACAAAATCAAAGTTACGTGCCCGTGTCCTTGACGGATGTAAACACTAATTGTTCGATTATCAACGCTACAATTAAATCCACGTATCGTTCACAGATACTTGAAATTCTTCAGCATTTCTTGCGGATTCCTGCTTTATGCACAGATTTCTTGAATATGTTTGACGAGCTGTAGTGTGAAAGGTTTTCACAGCCTTTCCTGAGAACAAAAAATAAATAAATGAACTCATTCAATGTGGTGTAATAATTATGATATACACTTGAGATGTGGGCTCTGTGATTTAGTCATGTATGGTTTTGATTCAAATAAATTCAAGTGCCATGATTCCCTAGTGTTTTGTGGTGCAACTGTCTCTGGTGTGATCCGGTTTGCAGTGCGACAGACTAAACAAATTCCAAATAATTGTGGATAGCATGCTCATAATGAAAACAAGCTTTCGTAGGATTTAAAAGCAGAATGTTAAGCGTTTGCGTATTTTAAAGCACTTGAAATGTAATAATGTTCAGTTGAGCTATAAAGTTGTCTTCGCTAATCTTTTGAGAAAAGATGGATGGAGTTCTGTTTGTGTAATTTCCTTGGTTTCCTTGGGCGTAGAAAGTATCCATTAAAGGGGTCATATGATGTTGCTAAAAAGAACATTATTTTGTGTATTTGGTGTAATGAAATGTTTATGCATTTTAAGGTTTAAAAAAACATTATTTTCCACATACTGTACATTATTGTTTCTCCTCTATGCCCCTCCTTTCTGAAACACGTCGATTTTTACAAAGCTCATCGGTCTGAAAAGCGAGGTGTGCTCTGATTGGCCAGCTATCCAGTGAGTTGTGATTGTCCGAATACGGAAATGTTACGCCCCTTACTGTGATGCCATCTCCCGGCTGGAGCGACAAGACAAAAACATTAAAACCCATTATAAACGAGGCATTTGTTGTATCCAGTGGGACATAATTACGGATTATAATGACTTTTACTGTCTTTTTACATGTTGCATTGCATCGCACCGTGTAAACATAAAACCATGTCTACATTTGTGATCTGAGAAACGACAAACTACAAACGGTACTCTACACTGCTCAAAACATCATCAGTGGCAAATTCTTTAAATATAAAAAACTTACTTACAGACTATGAGTCAGAACAGCCGACATTGTAGTCTACTCTCCAGGATCAGGAAACAGTCCTCCATAAAATGTGCTGCACACATCTGAATATTTGGGTTGAACTGTTCTGGAACAGTGTTGTAAATACAACTTAACCACTGATTTCTAGTCGTGTCCTCTTTTGGAAGACCAAACAAAGTAGTTTTGCTTTCACAACGAAACACAGCGTCACACACGGTGGCCTAGAGTGAGCAGAGGCCGGCTTGAGTGAGCGGTGGAGGGCTTGCGGCAACCATATGTGACGCCCCCGAGCTGGACTCTGCTTCGTCCACGGTGAAAGCCGATCCGGTGATGTATTCCTTCAGCGACCAGCACGGATCAGCTCCAGGCATGACGAAGCAGATATCGTCCTCTTTTGGAAGACCAAACAAAGTAGTTTCGCTTTTACAACGAAGCACACAGCGCCTTCATGACATGGCGGCGGCGGCGGCAACAACAATACTACAGCGAGAATAAAAGTTACGCCTTCTTTCTTTGCGTGAACATTTGGGCGGCGTTATGCAAATCTTCCCACACAGTGACGTAGACATGTGGGGGCGTGTTAGAACGAGCCGTTTTAGGTAGGCGTGGTTAACATCTTACATTTTATAAAGAATATATATTTGGATTTGAGACTTTAGTCTTTGCAACTTTGCAGATCTTTTTTATGCACCAAGAGCTTGTAACACTCCAAAGAGAAAGAAAAAATGTAAATCGCATCATATGACCCCTTTAATTTTGTGAAAGATTGGGTGACAGCACTTATTTTTATACAGTTCTAAGTATTATCAAGACCAATACTTCCAATACAAATACTGATAATTCTGTTAAATTGGTTTATTTTTGTGATTTCTATGTATAAAATTGGTAATTACAGCCGTTTTATTAAAAGCTGTCATCATTAACAGTAAAATAGCAAAGCATGATACAAAATCCCATTATTTGGAGGACAGGAGGCATTTAGTAGATTGTGTACAACAGAAATTTCCATGTCTAATATGATATGTGGGCGTCACGGGGTAAAAGTCAACATCCAGATTAGGTCAAAATGAACAGGGTTGAGTTTCTCTAAAGCATCATGACCATTGGTGGCAATGGATCTATGATGTACTTGGGCTTACAATGTTTCTGAGAAACGCAGCCCAGATTTTTGATATGGAACCTGGGGATATGTTATAGTTTTATTATCCAAAAATTAAAAAATTTAGAAAAAAAATACAATACAAAAATACGCTTTATACAATACTGAGTGTGTCAAAGCAGCTTTACAGTGTCAACAGGAAAATAGTTTGTCAATAACGCAAGAGGACAATGACAAAGAGTCGTTTTTCCAGCTGAAGTCAATTCAGTGATGTCATCATCCAGTTCAGTTCTCTTCCAATAGTTTCTGTGCAATCAGTCAAACGTCCCCAAAGCCAAAGGCAACAGTGGCAAGGAACCAAAACTCCATCGGTGACAGAATGGAGGAGAAACCTTGGTAGAAACCAGGCTCAGTCAGGGGCCAGTTCCATGTGCTAATATTATAATTAGTACTTATGATGTTTACAGGTCAAACTGAGTATAATTTGTTTTAATACAATGAAAAATAGTAAAGAGTAACCACAAATCAAAACATTATAACAAACTATATATATATAATTGTATTTAATATTTAAATTTTCACAAACTGAATATACTGTATACAGTAATTATAACTTTTTACAAATTAAACCTTTAAAAAATACTATTTCTACAGAACTATGTGACAGTTTCCACTTGAAATGTATGACGCACACTCATTCTTCTAGTCTACAAAAGCTGACATTGAAGTAGAAAAATTGGAAACAACAAAAAGTCAGTAATCAACTCTTGTTATTTGCGTTTTGTCTTTGTCCAGAAATACAAAGGCCTTAAATGTGCATGCCTGACCATGTTCTGGTACAAATCTGATGATGATAACTGCAAAACCCTGCTTTTATGAAGCATTTCCTTAGACTATTGCATTCAGGAGACCTACACAAAGACTCCTGGTGATCTACTCGCGTTCCCAAGCACCCATTCATCTATTGTCCTGTGCCAGACGTTTTAAAAACTGCCCCATTTATGCTTCTTTGTCCACGCCCTGCTCACTTTCACACTTTTACCCTGTGTGAAACACATCAATATGCCCTAATCAATAGTCTTTTGTCTTCAATTTGTACATTTACATGTGAAAAACAATCCGCCGCATCAACATCAGCCTCTATTCTGCATCTACTCATCGTAGCCTTTGTAATGCCAGTCTAGATGATTTAATCTGTATTGCAAGTCAATTTAGAATTTTCATGTATTTTGTATGTTTCTGTTTTTAATTGTTGTGGTTCCATATAGGTTACTATTTTTATAATATAGTTGTAGGTCAAACTGAACCTAACTGTTTGATTTCCCCCCAAAATCACACTATGAAAGATAGTAAATATTAACCACTAAAAATAGCAACCAGATCAAAACAGTATTTTAACTAAATTGAATTTATAAAAACACAGTACAAATCTAAATATAATTTTTTTCACATTGTCTAGTTGTATTTAATATTTGCGACCCTGGACCACAGAACCAGTCATAAATCGCACAGGTATATTTGTAGCAATAGCCAACAATACATTGTATGGGTCAAATATGTTCTTTTATGCCAAAAAATCATTAGGATATTAAGTAAAGATCATGTTCCATGAAGATATTTTGTAAATGTCCTGCCGCAAATATATTAAAACTTAATGTTTGATTAGTAATATGCATTGCTAAGAACTTCATTTGGATGACTTTAAAGGCGATTTTCTCAATATTTAGATGTTTTTGCACCTTCAGATTCCAGATTTTCAAATAGCCGAGTTGTGTCTCAGCCAAATATTGTTCTATCATAACAAACCATACATCAATGGAAAGCTTATTTATTCAGATTTCAGATGTATAAACCTCAATTACAAAAAAAAAGAAGATCCTTGTGACTGGGTTTGTTGTCCTGGGTCACATTTGAATTTCCACAAAATGTGAATATGCAGTAATTACAGCGCTTTTTGTTTTTTTTGACAAATGTAACCCTTATAACGTGCTTGATCAGTAAGTCGGTATATATTTGTTTGATCATTTTGTTGTTTTTACACCTCGTATAATGCATATTTAAATGCTGCTCATAATGTTCGGTGAGTTTTCCCCTCACGATGGGCCCACGCTTCAGCATAGTCGCCTGACATCTGTTACTTTTCTCAGCGCTGGTCAGGACAGGCCAATCACAGTCGACGCCCCTCCCCCCAGCTCTTTAACACTGAAACGGAAGCGGGTTTCGCCGCAGAAATGAAAGGAATAATCAGAGGGGCTATGATTAGGAAATGGCAAAAGATGTGGGATAGGGACATAAAGGGTCGGCATCTATACAACATTCAAAAACAAGTTGGTAATGGAAGGAAACACTTTGGAAGTAGGAAGGAGGACACAATAATATCTAGACTCCGTATTGGTCACACAGCTCTTAATCAATCATTATTTATTATTGGTAAACATGAATCAGGTAATTGCAATAATTGTGGTATACCAGAGACTGTGGAACATATGCTATTGCATTGTGAAGCATATGAGAGAGAAAGAATGCGATTAATAGAAGAATTAAGTTTGTTGAATATTGAAAGAATTACAATTAAGACAATACTTGAGTATGCTTCAGCACAGTATAAAGTCTATAATGCAATTATTAATTATTTGAAAGCAATAGGTTTAATAAATAGAATTTGAAGATCACATAATGAAGTATATAAAATAATTGTATCCTTGTGTAATACTCCTTTGGTCAAACTAAAGGTTATTAGATTTTTTTTTTTTTGTATATACTGTCACCAATATACGTCATGCTCCACACTCCAGTCCAGTAGGTGGCGGAAATGCACCTTTTAAGTGGGTTTGCCAACCGCCATTAAAAAGAAACGAAGAAGAAGAAGAAGGGTTTCGCCATGTGACGTCATTTCCACCTGCCCCATTAGCCGCGGTTTCCTTTGTTAGGACAAGTACAAAAGCTTGGGCACGCATTTCCAGCTCCACTCTCCTGCACGCGCTGTTTGAGATCTCTGCAGAAGTCCAGTAAGCCGTGAGCGACATGGATGCTAATAACAGCAACGCTAAGCGTAAGAACAGCGTCGGAGACGGTAAATATCTGCCGGAGTTACTGGCGGAAAAAGACAGCCTGGACTCTTCATTCACGCACGCCATGAAGCTCCTCTCTGCAGGTCAGTGCTTCTTCATTCAGTATTAAACAATTCACGCAGAACTACTGTCTGTAGCTTCTGTAATTCTTATGAAACGGTGAAGTCAGGACCTTTGACCGCTGGTTGGTTCATATTCTTCAGCACGTGCGTCGGTGGAGCGCGCGTTGCAGGCCGCATGCAGTGGATTTGGGCCTTGCTGCGTTTTCATTGTTCGTGTTTTGTTTTTTTATGCTCTGCTGTAATTTGTGTTTTGTGCTGTTTTGCATTGTTTAATTTTGGAGATGTGGAAAGTAATTTTGTACCATAGACTAAAATAAAAATAAAAACTACACGCGCAGCGCCGGGAGGTTTGGCTCACACCATATAATTGCCTTGTTACGAATAGGATTAAATTAGGTCAAATTGTAACCTTTAAAAAAAAATAAAAAATACATTGTATGATTTGGCCTGAGGTGCTGAATTTGCACACGTGCAAATGTGCATGCGGTTTTAATAGAGAATAGCACGAGCGTGGCATCTCCTGATGCATTTAGACTCATTACACATTATGGTTGAGGATGCGTGTATGTGGCTCACTTTGGCCACGAGCGTTTGCATTTCCTTTGTGGAGAAAGACAATCCCATGATGCATTGCTTCAAGCTCTGTGGGAGGGAAAAGAATCCCAGGATTGCAGACAATGCAAGAAAAACGCGGGTTATAAATGAACCAATTCTGTACTGAAATATTTTTATGCGAAATGTGTAATTAATAGTTAGGGCAGTGGTTCCCAAACCTGTCCTGGAGGCCCCCCTGCCCTGCACCTTTTGTATGTCTCCCTCTTATCTAACACACCTGATTCCACTCATCAGCTCATTAATAGAGAGTGCAAGAACTAAATTGGGTGTCTGATTAGGGAGACATACAAAATGTGCAAGACAGGGGGTCCTCCAGGACAGGTTTGGGAACCACTGAGTTGGGGCATTCCACCGATTCCGGAAAGTGCAAATTGTTTTTTTTCCCTCCAATTTCATTGAATACCTGGATTTCCCCACTGCCTTCTGTTTTAGGTTTCTTGAAATGGAGAAAATAGTTACGTTGTTATTGTAGATGTTAAGACGTTATTATCTCTTGGTATCGTTTTTATTATTTATTGGGTTATAAATTGTGTAACTTTCTTGTGCGTGTAAAAGCCCTGCATTGTTGCATTAGTCTATCGTGTTTGATTCCTTAAAGTCAAGTCTGGCTGTGATGCATTGCATAGAAAGTGTATTATGGTTTCAACCACAAAGCAGAGTCAACATTTTAGAACAATTTTATGCTTGCTTATCTACATCCATTAAATGGATTGATGCATGTAATGGAAATGCAAGTCTGCCCAGTCATCTGTGGTTCGGTCCACCGAGACAGTAACTGGTTCCACATGACGACACTGCATTTGCAAATTACTGGTTTTCATGCTATTTTGTTATATCAATTACATTTAATGTGTATATGTATGCGTGTTGTGTGTGTGTGTGTTTTTTTTAATTTATTTTTTTTAACACTTTATTTGCACCTAGACATTAAGTCTTATGACAAAGTTTGCTCTGAGCTGATCTTGTGTTTTCTTTTGCAGAGATTGAAAGGGTTCAGAAAGGTGAGCCTAAGAAAGAGTCCGAGACATATCTGGATCTGTTAACCGCCAAGAACGTGAGGGTGAAGGAGAGGGTGCTCATTCCTGTGAAGCAATACCCTCGGGTAAGTCATTACACTGTCTGGGTTTTGTCTGTACATTGCAAGGACCTGTTGTTGGTTAACAAATAATTTCTCAATATTTCCACTCAGTTCAATTTTGTGGGAAAGATTCTGGGGCCGCAGGGCAGCACCATCAAACGTCTGCAGGAGGACACCGGCGCGAAGATCTCAGTGCTGGGCAAAGGATCCATGAGAGATAAGAACAAGGTAATGAGCCAGGCTGCGTCACTAATGTGTTTACTGTTGAATGACCTGGTTACTAAAGATTAAATCGTGAAACCTGCAGGAAGAGGAGCTGAGGAAGGGTGGCGATCCGAAGTATGCACACTTGGCCATGGAGCTGCATGTGCACATCGAGGTTTTTGCTCCAATTCCTGATTGTTATCTGCGTATGGCTCATGCCATGGATGAGGTCAAGAAGTTCCTAATGCCTGTAAGTGTGAATGCAAGCAAATTGGTGCTTTACCCCATTACCATTTTTCATATTTTTATCACTCGTTTCATTTTAGTTTTATCTTCATTTTAATATGTTTAATTGTGCATGCTCATTTTCCCTGTTTTTAACAAATAAAAAAATAATAAAAAAAACACCCAAATGTCTAGTAAAATTCTCAGAAGTGGAAGTTGTCATTGTTGGATCAACTGGTGAACAGAAACTACTATTTTTTTAGCGGTCCCATTTGCTCCACTTACAAAAGTGAAAAAAACAATCCATGATAGCATTTCTATGGCTAAGGTAATTTAATAACTAGAAATGTCATCTCAGTCTGTGAAATTTTTTTTTATTTGTCTAAATTGAGATTAAATTTAAAATAATAGCAGTAATAACTCAATTTAACATAATGACCTGGTTACTAAAGATTAAATTGTGAAACCTGCAGGAAGAGGAGCTGAGGAAGGGTGGCGATCTGAAGTATGCACACTTGGCCATGGAGCTGCATGTGCACATCGAGGTTTTTGCTCCAATTCCTGATTGTTATCTGCGTATGGCTCATGCCATGGATGAGGTCAAGAAGTTCCTAATGCCTGTAAGTGTGAATGCAAGCAAATTGGTGCTTTACCCCATTACCATTTTTCATATTTTTATCACTCGTTTCATTTGTTTTATCTTCATTTTAATGTTTAATTGTGCATGCTCATTTTCCCTGTTTTTAACAAATAAAAAAATAATAAAAAAAACCCCCAAATGTCTAGTAAAATTCTCAGAAGTGGAAGTTGTCATTGTTGGATCAACTGGTGAACAGAAACTACAATATTTTTAGCGGTCCCATTTGCTCCACTTACAAAAGTGAAAAAAACTATCCATGATAGCATTTCTATGGCTAAGGTAATTTAATAACTAGAAATGTCATCTCAGTCTGTGAAATTTTTTTTTATTTGTCTAAATTGAGATTAAATTTAAAATAATAGCAGTAATAACTCAATTTAACATTGTTGCAACCACACGCACATTTATATTTACATATTATATATTTTAATGGACTTTCACTGGAGCTGTAATCTGCTGTTTAAATCCATTTGAAATGAAATTAAACTATTTAATAATGGTTAACTGTTCAGCCTGTTTTATCCTTTTTCTTGTGTGTCAGGTGGAAGGGTTTGAGGAGATGCACCCGGATGCATTCATGGATCCAGGGTTTCTGAACGGCTCTCAGGATATTCATGGCCCTGGCAGAGGTCTCCCTCCTGGTCGAGGCCGTGGTGGCCCACCACCCCCAATGGGACCTAGGTGAGAGAACTATATCAAATATATAGCCTCTGTTACACAACGTGCATCTCTTAATAATTTTGTCTCGCGTAATGTGAACTATTTGGAGTACATGTGTAGTAATCCATATATATGTTGATGTACTCGAAGGGGTCGTGGTATGCCGCCTCGTGGAGCACCACGTGGCGGAGCACCAAGAGGAGGTCCAGGGCGTGGAGCTGCAGCGAGGGGAGCCCCCGCTGGAAGAGGTGGCCCTCCATCCCAAACACCAGCCAGAGGAGGCACAGCCGCTCGCTCAAGACCACCAGCCTCGACTCAGAGGATGACACCAGCATCCGCTCTCTCCCACCAACAGCACCCAGCCAAACCTGAAACCTATGGCGAATATGTAAGTCAATATCCACAACACCACTGTTACCTTTAACTGTTATATATACTGCCTTTCAGAAGTTTGGGGTTGGTTTGTTTAAATCGATTAAAAGTGACTCGGACATTTAGAATGTTACAAATATTTCTATTCCAAATAAATGCTGTTCTTTTGACCTTTCTGTTCATCAAACAAACTTAAACACAATCTTCATAAAACATCACTTCCATTTTGAAGTGATTTTGAATTTCAATATTTCACAATATACCTGTTTTTACTGCATTTAATCAAGCATTCAGCTTTAGTGAACATAAGAAATAATAGAAGAAATGGTAACAACCCCAAACTTTTGAATGGTCATGTACTACAAGACTCTTTGGCACATGGTTTTGTAATTAAATAATTGGTGCAATACTAGTTTGTGACTGCATTTCCTTTATTTGACTACAAAAAAAAATTTAGATTTAAGTAACCAACCAGTCTGTTGGAATTAGCCAATATTTTGTTAAACTTAAATTCAAAAGTCAGTTAAAAGAACCATTTGTTTGTGACTCGGACCACACTGGTAGCTCTGTATGCCTTTTTTTTTTTAGTTTTTTTTGGCTCTGCATTTAGCATTAGTCTCTTTTATTGTATTACTTTTGCTGCCACTTTGTAGAAACGCGCGTTTCCTATTTCCAGTGAAAAGACCAAAAACTTTGCCAATATTCTATAGAATATTTTCAGCTCGTGATACATCTTCGTGTTTTCTCAGGCATATGAAGAACCATACGCAGAGCCTTCCTATGAAGGGTATGAGAGCTACTACAGTCAGCCTGCTCCACAGCAGTGAGTGCTGTTTGCTGCTTTTTATAATTGGTGCAATACTAGTTTGTGACTGCATTTCCTTTATTTGACTACAAAAAAAAATTTAGATTTAAGTAACCAACCAGTCTGTTGGAATTAGCCAATATTTTGTTAAACTTAAATTCAAAAGTCAGTTAAAAGAACCATTTGTTTGTGACTCGGACCACACTGGTAGCTCTGTATGCCTTTAGTTTTTTTTGGCTCTGCATTTAGCATTAGTCTCTTTTATTGTATTACTTTTGCTGCCACTTTGTAGAAACGCGCGTTTCCTATTTCCAGTGAAAAGACCAAAAACTTTGCAAATATTCTATAGAATATTTTCAGCTCGTGATACATCTTCGTGTTTTCTCAGGCATATGAAGAACCATACGCAGAGCCTTCCTATGAAGGGTATGAGAGCTACTACAGTCAGCCTGCTCCACAGCAGTGAGTGCTGTTTGCTGCTTTTTTCACATTGATCACAGTTTCTCAGATGCCATGTAGTTTTCTTCTCATCCAATGTCTTGCCTTCAATTACTTTTAGAACTTTGTACAAAACTGCTTTTAACTCCCCTCCCCTCTATCTCTTTCTCAGAGACACAGAGTATTATGATTACGGTCACGGAGAGGCACAAGAAACTTACGAGTCTTACAGTAAGACATTTTCTCTTTTCTGCATGCATTGAGTGAAATGTGCAGCTTTTTTGGCACATCTTTGAGACAATACAGCCAGATTGTACTACAGACTCTAATGTAAAACCTTTATCATGCATAAACCTGTGTCTGATGCCAGGAACACTGTAAGATACACTAAGCTATCCTGTTGTCTTATTAAGGGTGTGTGTTTGTTTCTAGCTGAAGATAACTGGGAGGGCGGAGCTTGGGGTGGTGCCGGTGGAAAGGCTCAGGCTGCCCGACAGGGCAAAGCGTATCGGGAGCATCCATACGGCAGATACTGAGAGCTGTCCGTCACTACGGTTGCCTGGCAACATCCTCCCCTCCTAACCTCTTGTAACCACCTAAAGTAATTCTAGTTGTTATTTTTGTCTTCTGTTTTGGTTAAGACTTCTTTTTAATATTCTGAATCTACTCTTTAAGTAGGGCGATGACCATAAGTTCGATGTGACATTTTACATTTGCGATTTATATGCTGTGCTTATTCTCTTTGCATTTGTTTTTTAGTTTTGCTGTTTTTGTTCATTTATTTTAATGCTTAAGTGTTTCTTCTCTGAAAAAGTTGATACCTGAATGCTAGATAATTAGCTGATGGTCATGTGTAAAATTACTTGCTTAAAAGAAGAAAACTGCTTGTTAATGTCACTTAGACTTATTCCAAACGCGCTTTTGTAAGGCATAACAAAAACACTTCGAGGAATGCACAAATATTAGTTCCTGTACAAACCAACATGTTATTTTTCAAAGAACAAATTCTATTTGGTTTGAGGCTATTTGTTGAAAGTCTCGTAAAAACATTCAAACTTCGCATCTACTGATTAGTTTTGTTAAATGAGCAAAACAAATATTGCAAAGTTTGTAGTTTACTTGTAGTCTGACAAAAAGGACAACTCAAATCTTTGTACGTACAATACTCCAATATTAAAAACTTGTTCTTTGGTGTTTATAGATTTGCAGTTTTCGAAATATTAGTAAAATTGTGTGCATTTTCTAACTAGGGAACTAAATATGTCCAAAATGTCTCCCTATCGGTTTGTCAATAAAGCATAGTTTTCTTTTACAGCCTTCAAAACTTTTGTATTTGACTATTTTTTTTTATTTTTATTATTATTAAAGTGCTAATATTCATCCCATATAAAACTGTTTCAAACTGTCCAAATTCTGCATGCAGTTTATAACATCACAACATTTGGATAAAACTTGTTTTACTCAATGCTGTTCAAAATATATTGTGTATAAACCGTTGATAAATAGCCTGCAATTATTTGTATTAAGTAGATCGTGAAAAATTTGCATATGTCTTGTACAGGAACAATTGGCCTCAATATTATTAAAGACAAATATTTCCAAAATGTTACCTTGGTTCCCCCAACAAGCTAATCTCAATTCTTTGTGTTTAATAATTTAAAGGGGTCATATCTTTAAAATCAGCTGTTCATTCAGCTTTTGAGTGTTAATGTTCATACTATGAAAACATGCTATAACGTTTAGGGCTCAAAACTAAGTAAAAATGTATTCACTTTAGTGTGAACTCAATGTCTGCCTGTTTTTGGTGCAAAAACAAGTGGATTTGATTTAATATGACCCCTTTAACAAATGGTAGTCAAACTATTCAACATTAACAATGATTTATACACAATACTAAGAAAATCCTGGATTTTTAAAAAAAATGTGTTTATACCTGTTTTAAAAGCAATAACCCTGTTGCATCAGAGTCACTAAATCCCCTCTGATGTCGCAGAGACTCTACATATCTGTCTTCTATTGAAAGGATCTTGAGGTAAGATCTGCAGAGTCACCTCTAAAAGCGCAGATACTGTAGATTCCCCTTTTTAAAAGGTAAAGTATACATGCACAAAACAATTTAGATGTTTGGTGCTCTGGTAATTTTCGTGCAAAAAAAAAAAAAGGCAAAAGAAACCATGTTTTGTTCAACCAAATCACTCAGCTCAAAGGCTTTTGTAGCCCAGGAAGAAAGCTTGACCATGAAGATTCAAATGTTGCATTCGCTGGCTTAAAAAAAACAACAAAATTGGAAAAGGCGGCGTAAAGTGTAATGCAAGCTTCAAAAAAGGTAAAAAAATCAACCCTAAATTTCTCTTGGCACAAATGTTCACTTACTCATTTCTACACTATCATTGCAAATTCAAATTCCGTTGTTTGCAAATTCAAAAGTCAATTTTCCCAAACCTGGCTAATGCATCCTAAAACATAAAAAAAAATTTTTTTAACTTGGTGTGTATTTTTTTTTTTTTTTATATGTAACTCTTGTTTTAAAAACCAATTAGATTGTAGTTTTTACTCAATTACACTTATTAAAGTGTTCTTGTAGCTGTACAAAATAGACAATGTCCTCCAATCTAACAAGCATGTAATGGTAATTCTGTGATATTAGTAATTTTGAATACTATTAAAACTACTATTTAGGGCAGATAGAGTGGATAGTACGCAGGGCAAGTCTCTGAGACCTATTAAGTTTGTTCAAATGTGACACTGCGTATTACTTTTGTATACTTTGTCTAAATTTTAGACCTAAAAGTTATCGTCTCTAAAAACTTTATTTTAATTGGTTCTCTCTGTTTTGCAGGCTTTTGGTGTCATTTTGTACCGAAGAGGAAAATGACGGCGCCTTTTTATACAATCACTTGTGACACGTGAATGTTTTAGTCTTTTAATTTAATGTATTTTTAAGTTATTGTTACTTTTATACAATTTTTTTTTTTTATCCCAATAAATGATTTTATACGGTTTTATTAAAGTTTGATTTAAAATGAGTCCGTATTGCAGAAGTGTTGTAGAAGTTTACAGAAGTGGTGTTAGTTATTGCAGAAGTTGTAGGGGTATTTTTTGTTTTGATTTTTTTTTTTTGTGCCTAAATTTAGGGGCTTATATATATATATATATATATAAATCTTAAGTTAGAACAAATGTTTTTAGTGATAATTTGAGGGATATGAGCAATTAGAAAATGCGTTGCCTAATGTTGTGGTGAACTTCGTCTGCATTGCCCTGCTCATTATTTAGAAATATTGGCAACTTATTGCTGCAATCAATGTCAAAATCAACTAAAGTTGAGGTGTCTGCAGCTAGAAGCTAGTACATGCATGCACCCAGAAGACAAGTACAATTTACCCTCTTCATCCAATTCAAAGTTTACACACCCCAGCTCTTAATGCATTGTGTTGCCTATTTGGGCATAGGTGGGGTTTGTTTGTTTGCCCCCCCCCCAAGAAGTCTGGTAGATGCAATTTCTCTGGAGGACCCTTCACATACCTTATATTCTAAAGTTTTAAAATTAAGTTACACAACTTGTGTAATCTAATGAAATGAGTTACAAATAGCTATTTTCTAATGTATAGAAATTTTAAAAATAGCGTTCCCTGCCAGTTACTGGGTGTTCTGAGTGTATTGCTAGAGTTTTAATTAAACGTTTAATTTAAGGAATATTGGCTTTTGCATAAAATATTGCTTTCGACCATGAAAACTGACGCTCTGCCAACGTGCAATCTTGCGAAGAATCGACTGTTTAAATGGCTTCGGAGGAATTCACTTGGGTTGAATGGCAACTAGTAACAGCCTGAACGATACAACGTAGAGGCAACAACCTTTTAGCCATGTTACAATGTTGCTAAAAGCTTGGCTATGTTGAGGCACTGTTCTGTGTGTGTTGGGCAGTGCCACGTTGTAGTTCAACGTAAATTGTTTCTCGGACGATAATGCAGTTAGAGCACGAAGGAAAATAGCTAGGAACGCTCCGTTAAGCTTCATTGTTATTGTATTTTAAGTAATGATTCGGTGTTCACGGTTTTGGTAGTCTTCGACGTTTTCTAGGTTGGATGAACTGTTCTTCTTAACAATGGGCTAAAAAAAAATCGATCGAATCGGATATATCAGTGTTTCATGTTTGTGTATTATTTTATTATATGGTAATGACCGGTACATGACCAAGTTAGTTGGGTGAATTCTCTTAAAAACGCATGTTTTTATTGTTATTACTCTGGTTGTGATGAGAACCCCTGTGTCTTAGTGAGGTGTTGTGACGCAACGTCTTTATAAAGTCCGTCCGTGGCGTAGGGTCAGCACCATTAAGCCAGAGCGCTTTCCAGGAGCAAAATCACCATCAGGAATCCTTTTCACTTGTTCACATATGAATATGCTTCGGCGTTTTCTTCTGCTCTGGATCTTACTGAGTCGCGCAGGTCAGTGCAAAGATTTGTTTGGCGTTTTGTAACTTAGTTTAGCAGTCCTGCATACAGAAATACACAGTTTTCACGCTGAAACATTTTGTGGAAATTGTATTTGCTTCATCATAAGGGTTGCATTAAACCTAGAAATCAGAAATCTTTATGTCCCAGCATTTTTTTTCCCTCATGCGTTTTTATCCCATCCTCTCTCAGCTAAGCGAACCGTGTAAATTCAGTGGTGTAGCCTATAAAGTACCTGAAAGCCATACTCGAGTAAAAGTACAGATATCTTGCCAGAAAATTACTTTGGTAGAAGTTGAAGTCACGGTTTAGAATATTACTTGAGTAAAAGTCTTAAAATATGTGATATTTATTGTACTGAAGTACGTTTAAGATAATAAAAAAATAAAATACTTTTCGTACTTAAGTATTGAAAGTGCGTGCAAATTGGAAAAGAAGCAAATAAATATATAAAACTATGTACTAGGTCCGAATCCGTACGCAGATTTAGGTGCCTCATTTCAGTGCCATGCCTGAGCTATCGATTGAAATGTTTGTCTACATCTTGTGTTGTTCACATTCCCACTTAAAGCACACCTCTGGAAATGAGCGCATGCGAGGAGCGCGTCAATGCAGTAATTACTCTTGCTCTGATGGCAGCAGGTAGCCTTCCGTTAACTAAGCTAAACATGCTTAAATTAAAATGCCTAAAGCTAAACCTCCCTTGTGTTCACATTTCTAAACCTGTTGTCCAACAAAAGAGAACATTATAACCTTTTTACTCCACAACACTAGTCAAATGCTTCCTTTTGTGATCTGATGAGGCTTCTTGTCACAGATTGAGGCAGAAAATGTTCCATATGCTACTTTAAAAAGAATACATCGATTAGCAATAGATAAATCCCGTCCGGCCGGGATTTCTTAATGCCCAAAATGTCCGGGATTCTGCTGTTTTCTTTATCCCACTCCCGCTGAGTCTCCGACCTGCTCCCGCAACATGTTTCGCTCCCGCGATATTCGTGTCCACTCCTTTAAACATTCTAATATTGTGTAGAATTTTGGCGCGTCAGGGAGCCGCTCTCAGGATGCTGTGTATTGAAATATTTTTGAATGAGCGTTTGCGCGGTTTACTTTCACTTTCGCTTTCGCGATCACACGCACTCTGTGTAAAGGGAACACATCTTACAATATCAGATATTTGTCAATGAGCTCAGAATCTGTTGAGCAGCAAATACTCCAGCATGGTCTTGTCAGACATCTCTCCTTATTCTCGACCTGTGATCAGTCAAAGCTGACTCCGGTAGCTCTTGTTGGATGCAGGGTTGGCATGTCCACGTTTTTTCCCAAAGAATTGGGCTACTTTTAAACTGTTGCCATGGGTTGATTTTCCCAAGTGGGTTAAAGGTTTGAAATATAGCATAAAT